TTAACTTTTTAGCTCTGAAGTCGAGCAGAGCTTATAGTATTACTGATTGTCTGTCGGCACTCGTGGCCGCCGTCGCCAACTTTACATTTTCGACTTCTTCCTAAAAACCACAAACTGTATAGCTGTGAAACTTTCTAGGAAGGTACCTTGGGTGGTTTTCTCTCAGATTTGTTCATTTCGTGTGGATATGTTCGATTGTCTTATTTATAGCGAATATTTTTGTAATTTTTGGTCAAAAATGCTATTTTCGACTTCTTCTTAAAAAATACTAGCCCAAATGCTTTGATACTTGCTATGTAGGTACCTTGGGTGGACCTCTCTCAGATTTGTTCATTTCGTGATGATTTCTCTAATTTTGATGAATATTTTTGTAATTTTTGGTAAAAAATTATATTTTTGACTTCTCCTTGAAGACTGCTAGTCTGATTGCTTTGATATTGTATATGTAGGTACATCAGCTGGACCTCTGTCAGATTTGTTGATTTTGTGACATCTTAAATTCTCTAATTTTGATGAATATTTTTGTCATTATTGGTAAAAAGTGATATTTTTGATTTCTTGTTAAAAACCGCAAGTCCGATTGCTTTAGTATTACATATGTAGGTACTACATGTGGACCTCTCTCAAATTTGTTCATTTCATGATGATATCTTCAATTCTCTAATTTTGATGAATATTTTTGTCATTTTTGGTAAAAAGTGATATTTTCGACTCTTATCAAAAACCGTGCGGCAGGTCCAATTGCTTTGATATTATATATACTACATAGGTACTACATGTAGACCTCTCTCAGATTTGTTCATTTCATGATGATTTTGTTCTTCAATTATCTAATTTTGATGAATATTTTTGATAAATAGGTATATTTTTGAATTTTTGTTGAAAACAGCAAGTCCGACTGCTTTAATACTATACATATTGTTCATTTTCTGATGATATCTTCAGTTCATTAATTGAAATGTGCATTGATAACAGCTGAGCTATCTCAGCCGATAGGCTGCTTGTTTGAATTTTGTTTGTCTTCTTGATTTAAAATGCTAAGTTTGTGCATTTCTGATTCTGCAGTTGAACCATTTCATCGTTCCCAACAAGCATCAATAATCATTGCATTGTTGAACAACACATAATGGAACAGCAAGATGGGGTCTTCATTACATATTAACACATATGGTTCTGAAAATTGCATGCATTTATCTTATATCCTATATCAAATACTGTAAAGTACTTTATTTTAGCTGGAATTAATTTTCGCTAAAAAGACTTATTTTGACAGATTTTTGATGAGTTGATGTAAAATATAGAAAAAAAGGTATATTCGCTAAATTTTATTTTCACTGAATCATTTCTTAATTAATTCCAAGCTAAAATAAAGTATTTTACAGTAATCACTAATTAACTAATATTTTTCTTTCTCCTATAGTTTAAGCATTGTAGAAGAGTCAGCCATACGAGATTTACGATATAAAATTATTGCAAATAAGAGTACATTAATGGAGGAGTTCTTAAAATATGACACCCATAAAAATGGTCAGTATCTTGCATTGTGACACATGTACCATAGATTTCTTGCACTAATGTGTACTGAATGATATTTTTGTGAAAAATGGAAACAATTATTCAAGTTGGTGGAATAAATCATTGACTAAACAAACAATAAATGACAAAGACGCAATTCTTCTGAAATTTGCATAAATATATATATATTTTTTTATAATAATCATAAAATGACTTCCAGCCATTATTTGAACTTGTGCTGTTATACATACCATATTTGTTCTGTTAAATGTACATCTCCAATAGATGTGCACTTGTATGTTTGATAATTAATTACTACTTATTTTGACCATTTACAAAATTATGTAAACTTAGTAATACAGCAAATATGTCACTGTAGTGCTCTTATCGAAGTACTATGGCTTACAATGTACTTCTACTAAATGTAGGCTTGAACTTCGGTATCCTGAGGGTACCCAAATTTATGGCAGATATTTCTAAAAAAATAACTTGAACTGAAATTGTGAGGAAACTATTTAAATGGCATCAAGAAATTCAGGTGGCTCATCTTGATAATCACCCCTGTAATTTTCAAGTCTTGTGTACAGTACTGTCGCTCCCTATGAGGGCTCTGTTACATTGTCAGTTTTAACACTTCTGTATAATTAAATTAATATTTTTGTTGCGAGGAATTGATTTAATATCATTCATGAGAACAACATTTCATACAAGTTGCTGTAACATTAGGACTGCTTTGTAGTAATGTTTTGTAGTAATTAAGAGATACTGATGTATATGTAGGTAATATTATGGGATGTTTACCTCAATTCCTACAGGCACAATAACAGTTGGTGAATGGGCACAGTGTATGTCTGGTGTACTGGATCTGCAGATTCCGTGGAGATCATTCAAGGACAAGCTTGTGGAGGTTGATGGTGATGGACGTGTCATGTATGAAACATGTGTAGATCTGGATGTCATTCACAACTTAACCTCAGGGCCTAGTATCACAGAAACATTGTATCGAAATAAAACTAATTTAGAAACAATATTCCGCATAATGGATAAGGATAACTCAGGTGAGTTTACATTTACAGGTTGTTTGCTGCCCTCTAGGGGCCAGAATGGGTTATCCAGAGAGGTGTTTCACTGTGATGTAGATGTAGCTTAAGATAAAGTCACTATGGCTTTCTGAGGCAAGTATTTGTAGCCCTCCCAATGATGTTAATACCACAAATATAATACAGTGGCCCCTCGCTAAGTCACGAGTGTCGGGATCCAAGCAAAAACCGAAAGCCGCGACTTACTGAGGGACCTCGTGAAAGAGGGGGGGGGGGCGTGCATTGAAAAACATATAAAAAGCACATATAAACCCTCGGTTTAGTTAATTGATGTATCATCATATGTGTCAGGCAGTATTCGAATAAAATCATGACTATGTTTGCTGTAAACACTCCAGTGATGCGTTGTTTATTTTGTTTGTGTCCGATAGTATGTGGGTTGTTTACTTTTGCGACTTCGACGGTAACAGCTTCCAAAATGAACCAGTTTTATTGCAATTATAAACTTGTTCATCAAAATAACTATCTTCATAGATAATTTCTCTCAGTTTTTCGGGAAAAGTTCTGACAGCGTCCATGTTTGCAGATCGAGCTTCGCCTTGGATTGAGACTGCGTGTATAGCATGTCTTCTTTGCCATCGCTAGAACCACCCTGAACTGGCCTCAAATTCTAGTTGCGTGCTTTGCATTGGGTGATGGGACCAAAGAGTGGAGTTCCAGCAGACCGTTCCTGAAGAAATGTAAACAGCTTTATCGATGTCACCATTGTCGGACAATTTCGCACATTTTTCTGTTCAGTCCCGCCTCTTGGTAAACTTTGAAAACAAATTTACTCTTCATTTTTTACCCACCCACGAATAGTGGGCTCACCCACTGCTAGATCACGTGCAATCCTTAACTTGGTTTCACCTCTTCTTGACACGGTCGATCGCTGTGAGTTTATGGCATACGAACAGACTGGATAGCTTTCGCTTTGACATGCTGCTCAGTTGAGAAATAGAGATCAGATAATGAATTCAACTCATTGTTGCGAGTTTTATTGAGGTATACCAAAATGGGACCGGCCGAGAAGCACGTACGGTCACTACTCGACACCCCTGTTGACACCTTGAGTAAGGCCGCCGTCACCCATTGAATCTAAGCAATTGACGGACAGTAGGTGTTAAGTTGTCTTTTTAACGGTTGGTTAAAAACACTATGCAACGAAACATTAGTCTTTGTACTTCAAAACTGCTCTCAAAACACAATAGAAATTTTGGGAGCCATCAAAGTACCTGCGACTTAGCCGAATCGCGACTTACCGAGGCGCGACTTAGCGAGGGGTCACTGTACATGGTTTTGGTGTGATAAAATTAATAGTGGTAATTGATGCAAGCTCATATTTTGTGTCTGACAACATGGACTTATGGAACCAATCGAGTTCAAACTTCATATATACATCGGACATCATATTAGACATATGCACATGCATTTGTTTCATGATCTGATTCATGATGGCCGATTGGCAGCCATTTTAAGACCAAAAATGTCTCAAAATGACACATTTTTACTATACTTGGTTTATACATTGAACCTAATGGCACCTTGTTGCATTCCAGATTATTTTTCAGATTGGGTTCAAAATGGCTGTTTGTTGGCTATTTTGTTTCAAAGAATGTACGGTAGTTCTTGATCCATATATTTAACATTCTACAGTTCAGACTTCGCACATACATCAGACATCATATCACCATCAAATCCAAAATGGCTGACTTGTAGCCATGCAGTTCCATGAAGTCATATCTCATACATGAATGGTCCAAACAAGTTCAAAATTCACTTTAAACTCTATACTAAACTTCAAAAATGCTGAATGAAACATAATAAAGCTCACATTGTACAAATTTGCCACAGATACAGCATCTTTGCTGCCAAGGTTCTACATTGGTTTTTTCACAACTCAATGAGCGCTTTTTTTTTTAGCTCCGCTGTCGACTTTGTCGAGCGGAGCTTATCATATAAGTGATTGTCCGTCGTCCGTGTCAATGTTTTACTTTTTCGACTTCTTCTTGAAAACTACAAGCCTGAATGCTTTGATACTTGGTGTATATGTACCTTGGGTAGACCTCTCTCAGATTTGTTCATTTCATGATCATATCTTCAATTCTCTAATTTTGGTGAATATTTTTGTCATTTTTGGTAAAAAGTGATATTTT